TCTATATTTATGTTTGAAACTGGCATAGTTCACCGAGAAATTCAATTATTTATACTATATTCAAAATATAAAATTGTTTGAGACAATTTAAGAGACTTTATAAGAGAAAAAATGTATGTTTCTYTATTATGTATAATGTGTATAAAAACTATTTTCGACGGTAGGTAAATAAATAAAAGAATTAAAAGAAAATGGTCATTTCAATATACAATTATTAATAACAATAATAACAATTATAATATAAAAATATATATAATTGTAATTACTAATTAGTTAAAATTTACAATGCAGTATGACCTAATGAGAAACCTCTATTGAACAAAAATAAATTTAATACGTTCCTTAACTTCTGTCAGCGACATGGCAAAACGAACAGCTATGGCGGTATTTTTAAGAGCCACGTTTATAACGAAATAACTAATATGGATTTAGTAAATAAATTTGGATAGCAACCATAATGTTTCTTACCTGAGATAATAATACAATATGAACAAACGTGTACACCGTAAAATGAGGAAAGAATATTTAAAATAAAGAACTAATAAATAACGCCGGACACAGTTTTACTACGACAAAATCAAGTTCAAGAGCAATGTGACGGATAATATGATACATTAAAACATTGAATAGGTAGATATAGGATATACGGAATACCACCTCAATAGCATTATAAAGTATACCCAGTCAGTGACCAGCAAGACATTGTAATAAGGTTGGTTCATGACTTGTTTACACTCGAAACAGTTTGACCATATTAAGAATATAATTGTTAATTTCAATTTTCGCTATCTGGGCATTCTTTTAGAAATTAACAGGTTTCTTTTCCTTGAATTTATTTAAATTGGATTTTGTTATAAACTTGTATAAAATATTATGCATTATAAATAAAATAATGTTTATGCCATATTTGTTGGCTCTGTCAGTCTGTCTTACAAACGCATTACAATTATAGTCATACAAACTAGCAAAATAGGTCTTTGATAACTACAKATAATATATAGAATATATTTATATATAACAGCAAATTGTATGTTTTGAACATATAATCAAATTTATAAGTAATTTAAAATTGTAAATTCGTGTTCATCTTGAAATAACTCGTTTAAAATTAAATATTAAAAACCTATTTTTTAAAATTAAATAATATATTGGGCCAATTTCATCCAATAACATAACTAAGTTAAAGGGATATAGAACTTACAAGTTACAATTTCCTTATCCTTATTTCCAAAAGAAACGCATGCGGGCGTAACGTTCTCTGAATATTTAATACTAGTTAGGTCTTATCCAGTGGTGTAGTGGGGCGTATACGCGGGTATACGGCGTATAACCACTTCTCTGTTTTTCTGTAAGTGCGTATACTTATAGAATAACACATGATACGCGGGTATACGCGTATGGAAATGCATTTATTCTATAAACCAATTTGATAAATAATTTTTTTTTAAATGTACAAACCTTATCGATTTGACGGTTTC